CAATATACATACTGTGTTGGGGGAAAAACTTACTGCAGTGGATAATCTGGATGCCAAAGTCATTTCCAAGTTCCCTTTGAGACCAAGAAGTGCAGGAACTAAAATAAAGACTTCTGTTACTTTTTTGAATACCTCCCAATGCTGTAAGAAAAAGAAAGAAAAATTTCTGGCATAGTTGGAAAATACTCTGGAACAAAGACATTTCTAAATCCCGGCCTGTTTCTCTAACTTTGCCTCCACACCTTGAATGCGTACATATCTTCTAAGAAGAGAACAGTTAGCATAAGCCCTGAACTTTGAAGCCTTGAGTTACTTCTCGAGTTGGGAGAGATCATCAATACAGTTATTACAGCCCACTCTACAGCTGACTTGCTACACAGTCCTGAGCTGACATCTTGCTCTGTCCCTCGATGATGGAAAGGGGCAGTGTGCTGGTGGTTGGGGAGCATACACCCAAGAACCAGACAGCCTGGATTTGAATCCTGACTCACATTTCCTGTAACAACCCCACAGGAAAAGTCCAATAGAAAGCAAATGTTTTCAGAGTGACGAGGGCAACAAATGTGCCAACGTGCTTGACACGATGGATGGATGTATGGATTGTGATAAGAGTTGTATGAGCCCCCAATAAAATGATTTTTTTTAAAAAGTACAGCATCATCTAATTCAATAAATGAGGAAATAAAGAACAGAGACGTTCAATGATTTTCCCAAATATCAAAAGATGAGGCCTGGAGTTGAGCTTGGGAGATGTTAGGATGCTCACGCTCTGGTCTCCATTTGGGTCGAGAGGCAAGAGGTTCTGAGCATGGAATCAGAAGAGAGCACACAATAGGACATGTAAAGATTAGGGATTCTAGCATGTCTGTGTGAGCCCAGGCGAGTCTCATGCCTTTCTGGTGTCCATTTCCTCCTTCATGACATGAAGACAGTATCTCCCCTGCCAGGCTCACAGGGAATTGTAACTGTGCTAACAAATGCATTTTCTACACAGACAAAACCAGAGTGCTTTTTGGCGAAGGTGATTTATAAAGATTCACAGCTTAGAAGCCCACAGGGGCAGTTCTGTCCCTATAGGGTCATCTGTCCTATAGGGTCACTGTGACTCATAATCAACTCAAGACAGACTTTATGGACTACATATATTAACTTTATGTTGAAAAGAACAGAAAGCACACAAGTACAACTTAAATCCATCACAAAAATGGCAGTAAAATTCAGTTCGTCCCACAGTTTTTCTTGAGGTTGTTGCAAATGTAACTAGGGCTTACCTAAAGGATTTTTGAAATAACATTGTCAAGCTGATCCTGACTCACAGCAACCTTTTGCAGAGAGCACTGCCCCTGTAACTTTTACAGAAGACTTCCACATCTGTCTCCTGATGGGCAGCAGGTGGGGATGAGGCACTGAGCTTTCAGTTCGCAGCGAGGCACTTAACAAGAGCATCACCAGGGCTCCTTCAAGGGAATGAGGTCCCACCAAGATTTGAATTCAAATAGGTGGGTTCAAAGTCCAGAGTACTAGCCAGTACACCACGGGGCCTTGTCTCATCTGAGAAGTTGGACTACATAAAGAATGCAGCACTGGGAGTGAAGGTGGAGTAAGCCTCCGGTGAAGTCCTTCTGAGCACACACCAGGGATGTGGACAGCTTGCTCTCATGCAGAGTGCATTGGAAAACAGATTACTGCAGATGCTGCTAGGTTCAAAGTTAATACATTATCATTTGATCTCCCTTTCCACCCATCTTAAATCTGTTCTACTTTTCAGTACGTTCTGCATTCCTTTCTACTGAGGTGTTTCTCTGTTGCATTTTGTTATTGTTCGTTTTGTTTGCATGTTTGTTTTCTGTACATGAAATCCAAGACAGGGAAGCATAAAGAGAGAGTAACGGAACTGACAGTTTCTTGGGAGTACAACAGGGGAGGTTGGGGGGAAATGGGAGCTAATACAATGAGTAAAAGCAAAAAGAAAATGCTCGAAAATCGATTGTGGTGATGATTATGTAACTCTTCTTAATATGCCTGAACTATTAAAATGTAATGATGTCTGCATTATGTCTGTGAAACTGTTAAATAAATAAGCCAACCCATGACATGCAAACGGCACAGCCTTGCTTGCTAAAAGCAGAGGACTTGAGGCACAGAGGAGAATTGTCTTCACAACTGGACCAACCGACAGTGTCTTAATAAACTGAGAAAAGATGAAAGTTGTCTAGAATTTCATTTTATTTGGATACAAATCATGGAAGCAGCACATGCAGAAGCAGCAATCACACGAGGGATTCGTGCTTGTTAAAATAAAGCAGTCTTAAAAAATGAGGCGCTGATACCAAGGGCTCAAGTAGAGAGAGGATGTTTTAAAGATGGTGATGGCAACAAATGTACTTGACACTATGGATGTTATAGCTGTGTAAGCCCCCAATAAAATGATTTTTAAAAAGTAAAGTAGTCTAACATAACCAGTAAAGAGTGTCTGCCTGGAGCATTACACACTTTTAAGATCTATATGTATGGGATCAAACTGACAACAATTCGAAAGATTACGTTAAGAATCTTAGAGGAAGGTGAGGTTATGCTACTGGTGGAAGAACAATTCAAAAAAGGAAAGTGAGATTGGTGTTGGACTGCTAGCCACTAAGTGGCTGGTTCAAAACCACAAGCCACTCAACCGGAGAAAGAGATGAGGCTTTCTACTCCCGTAAAAAAGTTACAGCCTCAGAAACCCACAGGGATAGTTCAACCTGAGGTATAGGATCACCATGAGTTGGAATCAACTAAATGGCAGTCAGTTTAGTTTAGTTTAGTTTTTTTTCATGCCTGCAGGATCTGTATTGATACCCATTTTATTCCTAATATTGGTAATGCCCACTTTTGCTGTTCCCTGATTTTTTCATGTGTCTTCCATTCTGCTATTGAGCCCATCTGCTACTGGAGCTTTCAGATCTCAAATTTCCATCTGAGTCTCTATTACAGCTCCTATTCATGTGCTGCTGCTTTCCTTGCTGAGACTTCCTTTCTGTGATTTGTTTCCACCACGTTCATAATGCTTTTTGAAGTCTTCTTTATCATGACTGCTATAAAATCTTTGCCAGATAGTTCTAACATTTATGACTGCATGTTGGTGTCTATTGTCTTTTATTCATTCGGTTTGAGCTCTTCCCAGTTTGGGACATGACAGGTGATTTTCCATTGTAACCTGGGCGTTTCTGTATTGTGAGAATCTGGATCTGATTTAAATCTTCTGCTTGACTGTCTTTCCTCATGGTACTTCTCTAGGAGGGAGAGAGGGCGAGCGTGCCATCTCATTACTGCCAGGTGAACACAAAGACCAGGTTCCCCGCTCAGTCTCTGCTGACAGACATGGGCTAGCCTCCTCAAGGGTGGGCAACGATAGGAGCTCCAGGCCCCCATATTGTCTCTACTGATCACACAGTGGGAGGGGCCTACAGGGGCCTATCAGCCAGCAGAGATGAAAGTCCCAACTTCCTATTTGGCATTCTCTGTCGTTACTCCAGCTGGCATACTGAAACATCTCGGTATAGCCTTGCAAGGGCAGGAGTCTAAGTTCCCATTGGCCTATGCAGGTATGGCCACCCTTTTATGATAGTGTTTGGCTGGAGAATTATCTAAAAGGTTTCTGTCTTTCCAGGCTGCCCCTTTCCTAGTCCTCTGGCCAAAGAAAGCAGGCTTTTGTTGGAGCTTTAGGTGTTTGTCTCCACTGGTTATTCCAGTTGCTAGCATCTTTAGCTCCAAGTCTGGGATAAGTGAGAAAAAAAAAAAAAACACCAACCAAAAACTCACTAATATGCTGTCTCTGTTAAGATCTCTAGCAGCCTGCTTTCTTCTCTCTCTGTTTCTTATGCTGTTTTATATTAAATTTCCAGAGGTTTCTAGCTTTATTTAATAAGGGAAACAGGCAAAATAATGTCTACCCTTTCTTACCAAAAGTGGAAGTCCATGTAAAGGGCTTGAAGGGAGGGGGTACAGTGGTGGTGGGGGGCTAAAAGGGAGACAATATCCAGGAGTCCACTTGGAAAAAGAATGTTTGGAAACACTGTGGTAGCAATGGTACATTCTACTTGACGTGATTGAAATCTGGAATGATTTATGTATTAAGTCCCAACTAATAATAAAAAATGTTATTAATATATTTTTTGAAACACAAGAAAAAAGCAGAAGCATTACATCATGACAGTGCTGTTGCCTAATAGTTGTGATCACAGATATGTTGAGCAGGGACTTATCATTAATGCAAACTCTAAAACTATAGCTATACTTTATAAACCCGACGATGTTACCCTAGCTTTTTTAACTCAGAAACTGGTAACAGAATTGACACTGAAGTTGCCCTCATACATTTCCTTTATATTTTTAAAACACTGGCATTTTACACACAAAATTTCTCCAACCTACTTTCTACATCAGAAAAATCACATTCATAGCTATTGAAGAGATTCCAACTCAGAGCAATCCCATCAAACAAAGAACTGCCCCACAGGGTTTCCAAGGGTACATATCTATTTGGAGGCTGATTGCCTCATCTTTCTCTCGTGGAGTGGCTGGTGGGTTCAAACCACTGACCTTTTAGGCTAGCAGGTAAGTGCTTAACCACTGTGTTACTTTCTCAGAATTTCAGGATACAACTCAGGAATATTTCAAGTCTGAATTCTGAAGCACACACACACACACACACACACGGAAGTAGCACTAAGGAATTTGTGAGAGCTATAATTTGGTTTATTTTCAAGGGAATACTTGCTAGCATGCAACAAGGCTGTCTTCATAAAATACAACAGAAACTCCAGGTCTTGTAGACACTGACTTTTAATAATCCTCTCATGATTAGCATAAAGTTACCTACAAATTACTGGAAGTTTCAAAAGTATTGGATCAACTCATTTATTTCTTTATTTAGAGGGATGAATTGTGCGGTAGGTGCATTTCGCTATGGCTCCTCTAACAACAGTCTTTGTAACACCCACCAAATGACTGGATGGGACCATGCACGTAAAGTACTCGGGGCTCTAAGTGGGTAATGGCCAACTTTGCCATTCCAATGGGATGGCAGAAACAGGAAAAAATAATCCCAAAACCATCAAGAAAGAAGAACTATGGAACCAAGCATATTCCAGATCCCTGAA